TCCCGAGCCCGGGGGCACCAATCAGCTGTCGACATCGATGCTGGAGGTCGAGGTGGAGTCTGTTGTTGCCTTTGTTGCTGTTGTTGTTGATGTTGCGATCATAGAGGAACGCCCCTGCCTCAGCCTGCTCCATCATGCCTTTGTTTAGTTCTCCTCTCCTCTTCGACTGCAAGGTCTCGATCACAGACCAACTCCCAACTGGAAGATACAAGAGAGGGAGGAACTCCAGTACTAGCTCTTGAAGATGGAGGGGTGCTAGTACTTGTTCTTGCAGGGGGAGGGGGAACACCACTTGTCGATCCTGACCCCCTGCCCCTCAGAGTATCCCTCCGGTTCAGGAAGCTTAGGTCAATTAGCGGTTGGCGCGACATCGCGGCCCCAAGCGCGTCTTCTTGATCCAAAGTTTGCAAAATGTTGAAGTCTGGCCAAACTTCCCTCCCGGCCGTGCTAGTTTCAGAGTGGGCGGTTGAGGCTTCCCTGACTTTGGTGGCTTCTTCAACCCTCTCAACTTCAGCTTCTGTGGTCCTGTCAAGATCCTCTTCTAAGTTCGGCTCGAAGTCGTGTTCCTCTGCTTGTCGAAAAAGTTTAGACCACCGGGAAGGGTCGTATGGCTAAGGGAGTTGAGAGAATTTCTTGTAACCGGGGATGTAGCCCAAAAGCACGTGTCATGCTCGGCCAAAAATGTCACCAATGTACCCCTAGATAGTCGTTAGGTCAGAAAAATTTACAAGATGCCGAGTAGGGGGAGCAGCCTCCTGAGAAGAAACGTCTACACAAAAGAAGATCATCAGCACCGTTATTTAAACACCAAAAAGAAAAAAGAACTTAGGAAAGGGGAACCTAGCATACTTGCGCTTCGTCACTCCTTGGGGCAGGATAAGCAATCATATTCAGGGTTGACTCCCCTCTCCCAGGCTCCACTGAAGACCAGAAGGTCATCCTTATACCCTTGTCTGAATTAGGAAGATGAGTGACGAGGTACGTGGAGGTGTCCCGGGCTTTGAGGTAAAAGGCGTCGTTTGACGACACTCTCATCAAGGTATAGCAGAAGAGGACGTCCTCGAGGCCCAGGTTGACCCTGAGGCGCTTGTTGAGTTCCACTACACCCATGATGATTCTAAAAACGTTAAGGCCACACTAGCCCGGGAATAGACAGAACCTAGAGAGAAACTGAAGGAGCAGGGGAGAGAGAGGAAACTTAATCCCTCCCTCCATGATGGCCTTGGTGTAAAAAGGCATGGTGTCCTCGGCGCCTGCGTCAAGACGATGGCAAGCACGTTTGAAATCCCTTACATCAATGCTACGAGAGATGTCATAATGGGTTTTGAAATTTGCTATTTGTTGGGCACCCTTAACTGTCAATTTCCTCAGCCTTGAGGTCCTAGCCTCCTCGGCCTCAGCCATGGGTTGACGTCTCGGCATCGTACACAGAAAGGAGGTCAAGACCGAAGCGTTCCTTCCTTGAAACGCGAGGAATCCTAAGAGGCTAAGAAATACGAAGCAACAGAGGGGAAGTCTAAAAGACTATCCTAGGCTCTGGTTTTTCAAGAACAAAGATGATGAGGACCCGTAAAGCTACCACCCACTAGAGAAAACCAAAAAGAAAAGAGAATGAAGACTCACCAGGATCTATGAGGAAGAAGAATCAAAGGATTGGGAAAAGCTTGGTAATGTTTCTCTTAGGAATGCTTCTGTCCCTCTTCTTCAAAAATGGCTAGCGAGAACGACTGAAATTCTTCTGGCAACAAAACTCCGACGTTCTTCCGGCACTGTGTCTGAAGAAAATAGCGAGAGTTCGAAAAGGTGGGCATGGAGGGAGGAGATTCTGTTTATATAGGCCCTCCCATTCCATGATTACACACGGAGCACGAAAATGCGCATTTAATACGCACGATCTCTAAGCAACGAAAAATGGCTGACAACTGAAGTAAGTGATTAGACAGTTGCAAAACCCTTTCATCTTCCGACGACACGCGGCCTTTCCATATGAAGATCAAAGGGTTGGGGGGCAGTTGATGGGACTTTTCTAGAAGTGCCTTAGATTTGTTACACGTGTCCTCGGCGCCGGGGTGCCATTCTCGCTCCGCCCGAGCCACGTGTCCTCGGCCCCAGAAAGCCTCCATTTAGAGCATTCGTACCAATATATCTCCATCGGCTACGACACCCTCGGTCCCAAGAATACTTTCTGTGACCCCACTCACCCGTTTTAATACTTGTACCTCAGCTCACAAATCTTTGATTCTTGAGAAGACTAGGGACTGACGGGTGGACAGCTTAAATCATACTAGCGATTACAGGAACACCCTACATAAAGCAGTCAGGGTGACAGTTCGAGCTTGACATTCAACCGAAGAATGTCAGACACGTGGCGATGAATATAATATAGGGAGTAAAAAGACAGGCCTGCCCCCACTAATATGCGGCCAATAAAGACATTCATTTAATACACTATCAATTGACAAGACATTTATTGAGGCTTGAAGAGCCAAAAAGTTATAGCATTTAATGCTTGGGAATCCGGGCTTTTAATGCTATCACATACAGAATAGTAACAATAAATGCTTGACAAGCCGAGCAATGAATACTAGGACATTCCCCCATCAAAAGTAAGAGGCACACTGTCCCACCTTTGAAGACTACCAGTAGTCTAGATTGTCAACAATGATGAGCTTTTGAAGGTATAAATAGTCCTTAAAAACACAATGCAAAGGTACGCAAAATTGCCCCTCAAATGTCATTTAGTGCTTTCTTCATTCCCTATAAAATAATTGACTTGATCGTCGGAGGGGATACGTCGGAGAGCACTCCGGCACCCTTCTAACCCGTTTTCTATATATCATAAATCTCTCATAGATCTCCGGAACCGGATCGATGTTCATAGCCAGCAATTCATCACCAGTCCTTAAGGCCCCTTGGTCCTAATCAACCCATTTCATGTTGCCGGATCGACGCCCCCAGTAGTAATTCATCGCCAGTCTCTAGGAACGCTTTGTCCCTCTCAACCTGTTTCTTGTTGTCGGAACTATCATCCCGGCGGGCCAATCTCAACCAGAATCGATTGGATACCCTAGAAGCAAAGTATCACTACTACCTAAGCTCCCTTTGTCCCTCTCAACCTATTTTCGTACCGTCAGAGACCCTTTCTCGACAAACCAGAGTTCATAGTGGGAGATATCTGTTCTCATTTCTACTATTGTGCAAAAATCAGCACGCACATTTTTATTGCCTCTGGCAAGTCAATAAGTTATGCAGGATCAGACAGGAGTTAAACCTATCAAAATTATATGTCTGGTGTTATGTGCATTTGCATGTTTATACTTTGGTGAGTTTTGCTTAAGAAAGAAAGTAGTGTAATGTCTGGGTTTTACACTGTTTAATTTTTATTTTTTTTTGAACAGCGTTGTTTAGCTATTTGCATTTATCTTTTACTTTTCAGGTATATAAGGCCTCAAGTCTTTTCAGTAGCTGTTGATCCCCTTGCTTTTGCTGGACTGTTAGGTGATTCTTTTGGGCTATTTGTTTAAGTAGCTTAGATTATCTAGTTTGCTCGATTATGCGCCTAATTATGGATATTGAATTCATGAAATGTTAATCTTTTACTGTGTAGTTGTTAGAAAGAAACAAACGTTGAGTTTCAAATACTGGTGCACACTCAACAACATGTCATTATAATAGGATGGTTCATGATGGTTGGAAAAGTTGACACATTTTTCGCCCTTTTAATCTGCCTGGGTCCTAACTTAACTGCTTAAGCAGTTAACAGCCGAATATGTTCCAACTTTCAGTTTTCCATATGACAAGTATGTTCAGAGGGTATTCTCCTGATGAAATTTCCATCTTGTTTTATATTGTTATTGTTTAATGCTAAGAAGTTTGTTATTCAATTATGAGATCTTTAGATTCGTAAGATCATAATATTGTCATTAGATTAGTAAAGTACTCGGGTCTTACAACTACTAGAGTTTAAAGCTTGCCTCATTACTAAAGAAAGAGACACAACAGTGCTTTACTAATAAAAAGGTTAGGGGGACTAAGAAGCTGTTGTTTGCAGTTTTCTGTCTACTTTGCGAGCCTTTAGTGCGTCATTCTATAACTTTCCTTCTTTCATCCAGCCACATGTTTTTGTTTTTTTTTGGACTACATCACCTTTTTGTTTAGAAAAGTCTTCAAAGAATGATTCTAACGTAGAATAACTAATGATTTTGTTGTTTTTTTTTAGAAAAATATTATGTGATAAATATTGGCTTCCCTAATATGGATGGCTATCTTACTCTTTATAACGAAATGAGATATCATCTACCCGAATTTCGTAAAGGGGAAAGACTTCATGAGAAGGAGGAGTTGTTCAATCATGCACATTCTTTATTAAAGAATGTGATTGAATGATCTTTTGGAGTATTAAAGAAAATATTTTCAATTTTACAGCAAATATCCAGTTTGATTTCGCTAAGCAAATGTATATTGTTGTTGCTTGCATGACTTGCCACAATTACATAAGGTTTCATGGCATCAGAAACGTATTATTTGCAAGGCATGCTAATGAAGACGTGGAATTAGAGGAGGAAGGCAATGTAAACCAGACTGATTTTAAAGAGGATATTGATTTTTTTGATACAAATTCAATGTATAGGAAGAGAGAACGTGTTGTTTCAACAATTTCAAGGGACAATCAAACATGATTTTTGATTGCATTTACTATTAACATATGTTTTGCGACTTTAGTATGTCATTCAGATAGTTGGACTACGTAATTTTTTCGTATGATACATTTATTAATATGATATTTTTGTGTATGATATATTTGTTGTGTGTATCATTATATATGTAATGTATGTTTCAATGTTATGAACATTTGTGACACAAATAAGTATTTTCACATCCAAACATATTTTTTATAAAATACATTATTTTAAATATTTAAAATTTTGAATATCCAAACAATATTTAATTGCTTGACATTAACCTATCTAGCCGTTCACGTCTCCCTGTATTCCAACTTTCTCTCCCTCTTCTCTCTCTTTCGCTCCCTATTTCCTCTCTCAAATTCACAGACCTAGGCTATATTTCTCACAACTGTTACAGTCTCCTCTCTCCAACTTTCTCTCCCTCTTTTCTCTGTCTCCCTCTCTTGCAAATTCACAGCCCCTTCTCTTCATCTTCCCCTCTCCGTCTCTCTATGTTTTTTCCTCCCTGTATTTTCACAGACAGAGAATAGCACACTGCCCCCCTTCACCATCCCCCTCTTAGTCTCTCTCTCACACCTTCATGGACCCCCTTCACCGTCCCCCTCCAGTCTCTCTTTCCCCAATTACATGTATTCAACTACAAAAATCAGTTACCCATTTTAGATTTCAACTCTCTCCAAATTTTTCTGCCCTCTCTCTCTCTCTCTCTCTCGCGAATTCACAGATCTTGATCTGGTGCTTTCTCTTCTCTGATTTTCTGGGTTGATCTATGTTCTATGTTGAAATTAGGTGTGAATATGATCTATGTTGAAATTAGGTGTTACATTTTTCTGATTTTTTTGAATTGTCTATGTTTGGTTCAATCTCTGATTAGGTTTAATTAGGTTTTAGATTTTTCAGATTATTTTGATTTGTTTATCTTTGATTTTCTCTGATTTCTGTGTTAGATATGCACTGTTGAAGGGTGGCTATATTTTTTGATTTCTCTTATTTTCTGATTTCTATATTTTCTCTGATTTTTCTTAATTTGAATGTGATGTACATAGTAATTAAACATGCTTGATTATTTGGTTGTGATGTTCGAAATCTGAATGTGATGTATATAATGATGGTAGGGCCATTTAAATGTTTTTGTAGGCACTTACAGACCGAGAACTTGTTTTAACAGGTCAGTTGCCTGCACAACAAAATGCTGACGGTAATCTTTTTGCTTTCTGTGAGTGCATGTGTGATCCTTGTTTTGGTTTGTTCAACTTGTTCTTTGAAAATGTGTTAGGTTCCAGGTAAAATATTTTATTTTCTCCTTCCATAATCAAAAATGTGTGCATGTTTGTTGTCATGCATACACCCTTATCTTCTTTCTGTGTCTGCATGCTTGCCCTGCTATGGGCGAGGGTCACATGAGTGATTGTTTAGTCTTGCAATGTGAAAGTGCTCTCCCCTTTTGACTGGTGTTTGCAGTAACTTTGAGGCCAATTCATGTTCTTTGAATGTATAGTTTATTAGCTTTTCCAAAATATGCAATATAGAGATTGATAATAGATGATCAGGATTTGTGCTGGGGTTTACCAAGCATATACTATGCAGTATATTTTAATGAAACTATTGTCTTTGCTTTGGGATTCGCCTACCTGTTGATCTTAATTCATCCCACAGCTTTGTATGGTGTGTCATTACTTGGGAGTTGCTATCTTTGTTCAATGAGATGTTGTTTCAGTTCTTTCTTCGTTTGCCCTATGTGTGCTTCTTTCTTTCGGGTTAGAGGTTTGCTGGCTATTGTTTGAATGATTTTTCTTCTGTGTTGCTGTCTACCTAGCTCGAGCTTGACTCCCTCTAAATCTCTGCGATCATTGTTTTATAGTTCTGCTTAACAGCAATATAATCATTGTTAACTTGATGGGGATTTTGTGTGTAGTTTTGTTATAAGAGCTTTTGTATGCAATACGGTTCATTGATATGTTATGTTTGCTGGTAGTTGTAGAGGATATTCATTCTTTGTATGAGTCGAGGAGTTTTATTTGAGGCTGTTGCAAATTCTTTACATTTTAGGCGCCGCATAATTGATGACAATTCCTGCTGCAAGGGCGGTGGTAGAGGTGGCTATGGTGGTGGTGGTGGACACAGAGATAATTATAGAGACGGTAGGGTTCCAGCCCAGATTGGCATTATCACAGTGGAAACTGTTCACACCCATATTGAAGTTTAGCTGAGCAATTTATGTACTAAAATATTGTGGTCAGAGTGATTTTATTATGTTTTGTTCGCAGGATTGTTCTCAAACTGGAGACTTAAGACGTCTTTTATCTTCTGTTGCCCGGAGGGGTTTAATTCTCAAGATTGAATTTGATTTGGACTTTGAATGTTTTTATAGAGGCAAGTGGATGGTCTCCAAATTACTACTAAGGTAGGTTGAAATTTTCAGGTGAGTGCTCGACAGTGATAAATTGGAGATCGGAGCGACCTTGTCTTGCATTAAAGGTAAGAACTTCAGTCCTCTTTATTTTCATGTGCTCGATTTAAACATGACATTTAACATTTTGCAGGGATTCAAAATGCTGATGATAATCTTCATGCTTTTTGTGCGTGCACGTGTGATCCTTGTTTTGGTTTGTTCAACTTGTTCTTTGTAAATGTGTTAGGTTCCAGGTAAAATGTTTTATTTTCTCCTTCCATAATCGAAAATGAAAGATGTTATATTCTAGGAATTAAATTTTTGGTCCAAATGGGCACTTTCATTTTTGGTAGCTCTTGAGTAATTCCCCCCCCCCCCCTCCTTTTTTTTTTGTGGACAGTGATCACGGTTATAATTTGTAGATTCTTCATCTGTTTTCTTCATCAATAATTCCCAAATTTGTAGATTTTATACTTTTTAAAATCTCTCGTGTTAGTTGCTTGACAAGTTAATCTAGATCCAAATATAAATAGCATACAAGAACTTAAATCTTGGGCTGAGTTTCACAATGTTGTAGCTTTCCGGATTGAGACATGCTGCTCTCGAGATTTTTTTTTCTGATCAGCCTGAGTTTCATGTCGTTCAATGTTATTTAGTTAGTAAGAAATTTATTTTTGGTTGCTGTTGGTTTTTTGTACTATATGTAACGTCTACCTTGGTCAATGCTAGTTTTCAGAGAGCACTTGTGTATTTGATGGAAGTGAAGGTGTACGAAAAAGCTGTCGTAAAATTTCATTGTTCGTACCATCGTCGACCTTATCTAAGTTTCTACGATGGCCCAAGAAATTGTGAGGTACCATTACGAGCTTAATACATACGAGTGTTATTCTTTGAAATAACTCGAATTTCAAATCATTTACTTGCTTTAACTATTCATGCTATGGATGTGGGAGCATCAACTCCATTCAAATTTATTCGATCACTTGAACTCTTTTTGTTAGACCAATTTAAAATGCATTTAGTATAGACCTATTTCATTGTTCTTTAAAAAATAACAATATGGCAACTTTTAAGAATTTTTTTTTGTCATTGTTCTTATTCGCAGAAAATCTAGACTTCATTCAAGAGTTGTTGTGGAATATCTTTACAGCAGATTTAATGGCTTCTATGGGTACAATAACGGGCTAACAAATGGAAGGGCAAGTCTTTGAAAAAGTTCCAAACATTGTGCTTATGATTGTCATCCGTAAAAGTTTCAATTTCTTCAAGAAATAAACAAATGGCATTGATTTGGAACCTACCAATCCATTGTTAATACAATACTAATATAATTATTGATCTCAGTTGGTTAATGAGTCTGGACAAGTGTTTTTGTAGTGGACGAGTAGCCTTCTCTTCCCCCCCCCCCCCCCCCCCCAATAAGTGGATGAGTAGCCTTCTTACTATTTGCCTGGTATGCATTTATAATGTTTTTGGTCAATAAGTGCATTGAACTTTGCTGCCTTGTACTTGTGTAACCAGATTTTGACAAATTTCCCCCTTCAATTGAAATGTCAATTCTTTCCGTCAACAAAATACAATTGCATTTATGAAGGAAAAAAAATCAGCTGTTGTATTGAAACAAATTGACATAAATTTTTACTATCAACTATAATAGGCCACACTCAAAATGGTCCATGTGCAACGCGCATTAACTAGTTTAATAAAAGTGTTATTCTTATAAATACTTTTGATAAACATATATTAAAAAAGTATTTTTTGGGCACTGCTCATTGTCACCACCATCTCATTGCCCCAATCCCAATATCCTCTCCCGTACCCCTTTCCTCTCACAGCCCCAAGCCCAAGATCCTCGCCTCTCATTACCCCATACCTAATGGACCATGGCATTAGTGCGATCAATTAGATCATAGAAAACGGATTTGTGTTAATGACTAGCAAAAATAAAGATATTTTGTGTTGTTGGCCAGTGGTGGTTGTTGGTGTTGTGGGGGTGGTCTTCGTGTTTATCAGAAATGGGAGAATGGAATCGCTGCCACGATGGTGGCTGTTGGAGTCAGCTTGACTGAACAAGGTCAAGGTCTTGAATAAATTAAGGGGCGAGAGAAAGAGGGGAGAGAGAGAGAGAGAGAGGAAATTTGCATTTTTAAAATTATTTTGGGGTATAATGTTGTCATAAATATTAGTTTGGATCCGGAAGATATATAATTTTTTAGTTTATGCAGTCGATTGCGTAAGCCTTCGTAACGTCACGAAACGGTATGGCTATAGTGTTGCAATTTGGACTTATTGAGAGGCTAACCCTAATTATAAAAACTCTTAACTCGAGCTTAATTCGAGTTCGATCTCAACCCAAGTACTATCAATTCGAGCTTGGGTTAAACTTGGGTTGAGCCCAAATTATTAAATTGGGTTCAATTTTTGAGTTACATTCGAATTTCTAAATATTAACACTTTTTACATTTTTATTAAACTCACATAGGTCCAACAAAAAAACCAAGCCCATTTTGCCATCTTTATATACCAGAGGAGGGAGAGACCCTTTTTATTTTCAACTGATATAGTATTCTGACTTGGACATCTTATTTTGTTCTTTTTTCAACATCCTATAGCGGTTCAACAAGAGAGCTTGCACTCCCTCTAGTGTGAATAAATACACATTATTCTATTGTGTGGCCCTTATGTGTGCGTGTGTGTATATATATTTTAACACTTAAATAAAATTCAAAATATTTTAATATGATAGGTTGAATTTGAGTTAAGTCTCAAACCAAGCCCAACCTGAATTTAATTCAGGTTGAGAATTTTTTGTCCATGCACAACTTAAGTTTTAAAAAACTCAATCCAAACTTTGGGTGAAACTTGAACCGGCCAACCCGATATCAACCTGAACTGAACCCCATAAAAAAGTACTTGAGTTGAAATTTTTAATAGACAAATTTGGAGATCAGTCCCCCTATATGAACTTGTTTGGATTTAAGTCCGTCAAGAAACTTTATTTGTTATGAACCCTGTTTTTTGTCAATTTTATCAGACTATCCCTTCCTTTTATAAGTGAAGTAAAACTAAAAATTAAAATCTCCTAAATTTTAGGAGTTTGACTAACATTAAAATTGTTTCTCTCTCAATATCTATTTATATCCATATATAGGTTAGAATTATATATATCTCTCTCTCAGATTTATGTATATATTAAAAATAAAAAATAGTAACATTCAAATACAAAAAAAAAAATTATCATTTAGACACAAAAAATAATATCATTTAAAAACAAAAAAAAATAGTAACATTCAATATTAATATTTTAAAAAAATAGCAATAGTAAAATATTCAACAAAAATAGTAAAATACTTAACAAAAATAGTAATATGCTTAACAATAATTATCTCTCTCACATCTATCTATATCCATATATAGTAATATTAAAAATAAAAAAAAATAGTCAAATTCAAACACAAAAAACAGTATCATTAAAACACAAAAAGTAGTAATATTTAAAAAAAAAAGTAACATTGAATATTAATATTTCAGAAAATAATAATAATAACATGCTCAAAATAATAGTAACATGAACAGTAACATACTTAGCAAAAACAGTAACATAGTAAAAAAAAAAAGTAACATGAAACATTTAAGCCCAAAAAATAATAATATTTAAAAAAAACATGTAACGTATAATCGGCATAATTGTGGATAGATGAGACAACAATAATATGCTCAACCAAAAAAATAGTGAAAAATTGAACAAAATTGGGACAAGTACTCAGTGTAAAGGAAATAAATATTTGACAAAGATTTCGGAGTTTAATTTTCTCAAAACCTTTAACAAAGTTCAAAGTTGCCTGCCTAATCCACCAGTTTTACAAGGAGGATTAATGATCCAATGATCCACCAGTTTTTCAAAGGGTCTTCTTGTGCTAAGCCGTTGAATCCATTGAATCCAAATACACATATAGATAGATAATATGAAACAACAATTTGAGCTTTAAAAAACAGAGAAAGAATAGACAAATAATTTTTTTTGAAACTTTAACCATATATGCGAAGACGAGTGAAAAGGATCTTCTTATGCTAAACTGCGAACCAATTCGTCGATCGATTCAACATCGCTTGCAACCACGACGACATCCCCACTAGTTGGCCAGAGAGAGAAAGAGAGGGGGGAGGAGAGGAGAGAGCTTTGAATTTGAATTTTAAATTTATGAAAGATATTTTATTAGCATATTTTAATTGACATTTAATTAAGGAATAAAAATTTCTAAGATAAAAAATTAATTTAACCTCCTTTCAAGAAAGAATATTTTTGGGATTTAAAAAAATAGTGAACTTAAGTATTTATTACTAAGATAAAAAAACAGACTTATCACCAAATAAATTTTATTGACGAACTTAATCATTATAATTCCATCAAGGAAAACTCAGCCTTAATTTTCATTTTTTAATATTTGAGTTAGGTCTGAGTCGAAAAACACCAACCTAAATTAAATATGGACAATACCCGAGTTGAGACCTCGGGTTACCAAGCTCAACCTGAATATATAAATCGGGCTCAACCCCAATATATAAATCAAGCTCAACCTGGAAATTAAATCGAACTCGATCAAAAAATATTTAAAAATAAATATATGAAGCATAATTTCACCATTCACTTCAGACTTTGCACCTCCCTCACTTTCTCACTCAGCCTCTCTCATTGACACTTGGTCACCATCAACGATCGACCGACGACCAGAGACCCTCATCGACGATCAACTCTCTTACTCACTCTGCCTCTCTAACTCTCTTAGTCTCTCAATAGTCATCAGATCTTCGCTTCCACAGTCCACCTTCAAGTATGAACTTAGTATTTCTCTCCCTCTGTCTCTCTCTATCAGATCATCACTGGTATGTATGGATAACCCAAAATAAGGCCGAGCTTGTCCAAATTCAACTTTGGCAAACTTAGTTTGAGGTTGGGCTAGAGTTGACCCCGCCCAACTCGCCAAAGTTGCAGCCCCAATACAATTTTTTTTTTTTTAAAGCTTGGGTTAACCCGCC